ATTTCTTCATACATCCACGTGATATTTTTCTTCTTTTTTTTTTCTTTTTTTCACACCCTTTTTTTTCCATGCATATCTGATATTCCTGAGCTTTGTGAAATAGTTGAATTCATATTGTGCACAACAGAAATTTCCCAATTCGCAACAATTGTGACGAAAACTATCCCCTCACATGTTTTGAGCACGTTTTTTAGGAAAACTGCACGACATGGCTTGTAGGCAAGTGCTCACAAAGATGTCCACCCCGGTGCTTCATCATTTTCCTCACATATGTAAAAAATATTATATGCACCCTGTATAGGGTTACATTGCATTGCGCGTCACAGGGATGGAAAAAATGAATGTCCCATTAGGCAAACTTTCCATTGGGCGTTGAGGAGTGAAAGGACGAAAATGTATAAACCCGACGCAGGGGGGGGGGGGGGGGTCTCTTCCTACTTTTGCTATTGATTTGGTTCAGTCTGCACAAATTGGTGAAACATACCAGTTTGGGAAAATAAAAGGGCAAAAAGAGAAGTAACCTTTTCGTGGATTTTCAAAACTTGGTTCATTGTCCCTAAGTTTGTAAAAAAAAAAAAAAAAAAAAAAAAAAAAAAAAAACGGAATTTGCTTTTATTTTTCCTTTGTTTCGCGCCATGTCCACAAAAATTCCCTTCTCCTATACTCCTATAAAAACTGTAAGGTCTATTTTTTACGAGTAGTACGATGTGAGTGTGAGGATAACGTTATTTGGTGAAAAGGCAAAATGCGAAAAATGCAAAAATGGGAGAGCGCTAAAAAAAAAAAAAAAAAGGAAAACGACATGCTCAACAGTTGGCACCCCATCCATTTTGTTCTTTTGTTGCCATATATTTTAATCCATTCGGCTTTGCCACACAAACATAGAAAAAAAAAAATTACCATCTACAGAAAAGTGCATATTTATGGATCCCTTTCTTCCCATTTTTCGAAAGGGAAAAATCCCCTGGGGGAAAGTAAAACAGCGGAAGAATCTCAAAAGCAAGCGAAAAAATGGAAGATAAGAAAAACACGCCCTTAAATAATGTGCAACCCGGGATTTAGCAAATCCCAAAACGGCGAAGGCCACAAGCGGTCTGCCCCGCGTCGCACGAAAATTCTAAACCGACGTGGGGGCACTTTTCCGAGGAAGCAAAAAAGGGCACCGATTTTTCGACGAGCGTGAACCCTACCGCATAACTGCGTACAACAACTGCCAACAACTGCGCAGCGGGATGCCAAACCGAAATAAATCATTTTCAACTTATCGCGTGACACTGAAAGGAAGTCACAGCGGCAGGTTCTCCGATCTACGCATATACAATTTTTAAGTACATATTATGTAGAACAGGTTACATGTTTTTTTATATATCGAAGCACCTGCCCCCCCACGCAAGTGTGATCGAATCAAGGCCAGGAAAAAAACACGCTCATTTGACAAAATGCGGAAGAAAAATAAAAAGAGCAAAGATAAGCAAGAAAAGATAAAACTCAAAAAAGAAAAACAAAAGTTGAAGTCCTTGAAAACGAAGAAAAAAAAAAACCACAACAGTGGCAACCATGACGTGTTGAGTGACGCAGACTTCGAAACCATATGCTTGTATTACGAAAATTTAAATAAAAAAGATCAGTATGGACATATAAATGTGAATACAACAACCAACAATACATTTGTGGAGTGTGAAAAACCCAGCCCCAGGTCGAACTGCTCCATCACCTTTATTAACGAAGAAGAGTTCCTCCTATTCGGTGGAGAGTACAATAATAATCACGAACTGCTGGCTTACAATGACTTGTTCAAGTATAATGTAGTTAAAGATAAGTGGAAGTATTATTTCACAACAGGTAAAAAACCCAAACCCAGATGTTCACACCAAGCGGTTTATTTTAATAAAAAGTTATACATCTTTGGGGGAGAATTATGCACGAACACACAATTTTTTCACTACAACGATTTCTGGTCTTTTGACATAAAAAATAACACCTTTGAACAACTAGAATGCAAAAACAAAAAAGACGAGAGACCCTCTCCCAGGAGTGGCCATCGAATGATTTTATGGAAAAGCGCCATAATTATGTTTGGAGGATTTTTTGATAATGGGAAGTCAGTAGAATATTTTAGCGACCTATACATGTACGTAATCAGCAGCAATAAATGGGTAAACTTAACCAACATATATATGGACTCCTTGTTTAGGAGATTAACACAGGAAGATGGAGCCAGCACTGCAAACTCGCTAAATACAACGAACAATGAAAAAAAGAAAAAGGGAGATAAAATAATATCACAAAATGTGAAGAACGCCTTTTTTAAAAACTTCGATTTAGATTCTTATATGCCGTCTAAGAGATCAAGCGTTAGTCTATTCACCGACATGAAATTTCAAAAGGTGTATATATATGGAGGGTATGCTCAGATAAAAAACACTTCGAGGAATGCCATTGGGGCCTACTACAATGACATGTGGGTTGTAAATATAAACTACGCTGGGGAAGATAACATCCTGGTCAATTTTAAAAAACTGAAAAAAAGTATCTTTCAACCATCTAAGAGAATTGGGTTCAGCACATGCATTTACAAAAACTCGCTAATTCTATTTGGTGGTGTTTTTGACAAGGTGGAGAAAAATAACACTAACAAGGCGACAACACAGACTAGCACCCCTACTGGGCATAACAATACTACCAATAATGTTTCCTCCTTGGAGGAATCACTCAACATACAGTCCATCTTCTTTAACGATTTATACTCCTTTGACATGTGTAAGGAGCACTGGTCATACCTCAGCCTGAAGGGAAACACCGATGTGAGAGAGATCAACCGAAACGAAAAGGAAAATAAAAAAAAACGAAACGGAGAACTCAACGTGGGTTCCCCATCCGGCGGTAGCAGCTATAAGCAGCTTCTACCGGGGGACCAAGACCCTTTAAGCAAAAGTAAAGAAGGCCGATTCGGCACCTCCAGGGACTCCGCGTCCGACGGCTACGATTCCAGTCACTTCACTGATGGCGACAATAATGACGACGAGTACTACTCTAACGTGTTTGTCTATTTTGACGAAAATGGAAATAAAAAAAGGATCAAGATTGATCAAGAAGACCCGGAAAACAGAGGTGGTAACGAATCACACAACGAGAAAAAGGAATGTCACGAACAGTCCCCAAAAGGAAACTCCCAGGCGTCAAACATGAATGAAGAAAAGGGCACCTCGATAAACCATGTAATCGATTCGCACTCGGTGTTTATGCATTGCGAGGAGTCGGCACACGCGAGCCGCGCTAACGTCGTGGGAGATTCGAAAAGGGGAAAAAAGGAGTCCGAAAAATGCTCCATTCCAAATGGTGATCATGATGACCATCATAATGGGGGCGACCCGCCTGAGGAAAGAGATGCACCAGGAGAATGCGCGCAGGAGGATCCTTCCGCGGGGCCAGACCTAACCGAGGCCAACGATGTAACCGACTCCGACTCGGACACCAACGAGGCAGACAAAAAAACAAAGTTCGTAATAAACGACGTGGAGCCCATCGGCAGAATCAACAGCCACATATTCGTAACGAACAAAACGTTGCACCTACTTGGTGGTATGTATGAATACAAAAATAACGAAATAATGTTAAGTGATCACTGGAAAATTAACATTTTTAAAAGAGAAAAATGGGAACTAGTACATAAAGGAAATCTAGATGACATTTATGTGGAAGAAAGTGACTTGAGTTCTGCCCTCTCCTTAGACGATGAAGATAAGGATGAAAAGGAAATAGAAAATTTGATAATTTCTGATAAAATAAAAAAAATGGAAAATAAAATAAAGGCCGAAAGTGGAGGCTTCATTTTTGATGCCAATGAAAATTTAAATGAATTCTTCCTCAGAACAAAAGAGCACTGGTTGAAACAGCTAAGTGTGGATGAAGAAAATAAAAGAAGTAGAAAAGACGCTTTCGTTCTGTGTGAGAAGAAATACCAAGTCCTGAAAAAGTACCATAGGAAAATTCACAAGTATAGGGAATTGCTTTTGGCTGATGAGTGCGGATCGAGCATGACTGAGGAGAGCTCCAGTGACCTGGAGGAGGCATCCTCTAGTTAGTTAAGCTTATTCTTTTGCAGGTCTCTAATTACTTAAATGGCCTGTTTTGCAGGTGTAACACCTGATCAGTGGGAGCGGTTCCACAATCCCCACACCACACAATCGTCATCTTGTCAACCCCTCTAGCAATTTTCTTCCCCTAGAAATCGTGTGTGCGTTTTACGTTTTTTTTTTTTTTTTTTTGTTCTCTTTTGGCTCACGCTGCGCAATGCGTACTGCATCGTGACCGCATAACTGCGTGGCTGCGTCCCCTCCGTCTCTACTTCACCCAATTAACGTTTTAATTTTAGCAAATATTACGTTTTTCCTCAATTAGGGTTACCCTACTGATGCGCATTCAAAATACGGGCTGAGAAAGTAGTCCCACGTAAACACGGGCGCACATACATGCATACGTATAATAAAAAGTAAAACGCTTCGAATTAAAAAAATAAAAGGATAAGTGTCTTCTCCCCATGTGTTTAGAAAGCATAGGGATGCGGGCCGTCTGCAGGCCCCAAACAGGTTAGCCACCCTCGTAAGCAATGATTAGCGTTTTTCGTTTAAGAAAAAAAAAAAAAAAAAAAAGGGAAAACCCCAAATGGCAAACTCGAAAGAAACACAGAGGCAGCTGAAACCGAAGAAGCCAACGATGAGAGAACCTGTTGACGCATTCCCCGCGTTGCATGTATCCTCTCGCCCCAAGGGCACTCCGACGGGAAAATCCCTTCTCGACCGAAACCATTCATTGTTAACAGTGTGCACAAAAAAAAAGAAGAAAAAAAGGGATAAACATATTCCCTCTGCGTTACAAGTTCGGTTTGTAAAACGCTTGTTGTTCTTGTTCTTGTTGTTCTGCTTGGTGTGCAGGGTAGTTTAGCTTTTTTTTAAAAATGACTCGTCATGGAGTTGCCCCTATATTTTGCTTCCCCCGCTTCACTTCTTGTCATAGTACATATAGTCCAGAAAGAGCGAAAAGGCCAAGAGCATCATCTTCCACTCCGGGTTCTTCACCTCTTCGAAGTTGAGCGTATAGTTGTCGATGTCCCGTTTTACAAATTTCAAGAAGGGAACTTCCTTCTGCAAATGAGCCACCTTCGCATTTGTTTTTGCATCTCGCAAAAAAAAATTGCTAAATTTAAAAGGACCCCATGGACAGGGACATAAAATGCTAAGCTGACAACAGGTGTCATCCATGTATATAATCTTGCTCATGGCAGAATCATATAAATCAAATTTATATGAGCAGCAACTGAAGGGAGCTTTTATCGTCCCTATTAGCTCCTTATTATTATTGTTTGAAAATTCATACATTTTAATCGTTGGCCTATTTAAGCAACACATGGTACACGAACAATCCTTCTCGACCATAATGTCAGGCCGACTTAATTCCTTTCCATAGGTCAATATTTTCATATTTATCGGAATACACAATTTGGGCAAACAGTTCCTATTGCAACAGTCTGAACGTTCAATGGCTGTGAATTTAAGAAGTTCGGTAGATGCATCTAGCACTAAGTACCTATTGTTAAAGTCTAATTTGAATCCCATGACAAAATCAGCTAGAAATTCTCTGTCATCAAATTGTTGCTTGATTCTGCAACTTTTTAAGGGCGCCATGATGCTCTTCCAGTCATTCGCGAACATGTGCATTTGCTGCTGGGGCGGACCCATGGGGTATTGGTACTGGTAGTTGTGCATGTTTGGGTATGGGAAGTTGTAATTCAGGTTGGGCATGTTGGGGTTGGGCCCGTTCGCGCACTGGTTGTGCGCAAATTGGTTTTGCCCGTGTTGGCTATTCGCATACTGGTTATTTGCGTGTTGGCTATTCGCATACTGGTTATTTACCTGTTGGTTATTCGCATACTGGTTATTTACATGTTGGTTATTCGCATACTGGTTATTTGCATGTTTGTTATTCG